GAACCCGGTCATCTACACCATCTTCAACCACGACTTCCGCCGCGCCTTCAAGAAGATTCTCTGCCGCGGGGACAGAAAGCGCATCGTGTGAGCCAGTGGGATGTGCCCTGCTCACAGACGCTTGTCCCATGCAGGCCCCGGGGTTCGAGGGGGCGCGTCTACGCATGCAGCCCCAGCAACCCAGGACCTACCTGCTCTGTGTGTTGTCTAACTTGGAGTGAGCCCCGTGGTCTTGAGGGCACCTTTTGTTGCAAGTGTAAAGTTCTGGCTGAGAGGGACACGTGAGCCTTATGGTGGCTGTTGTGGTTGCTCCCCACCCACAGCCATTTTCCTGGTGGGCTACCCCTGATCAGTATTGTTTCCTAATGATGTTGTCACCCTCTCCCCTCGTCTGACTCTCCCAAGCTCTTCAGAGCAAGAGCAGTACTAGAAAGGGCATGGTCGCCAAAGGCTTAACGAACCAAGATTTCCTAGCCCTGGCTAATTACCACTCTTCCTTCCTTTAAAAACCCATTCAGGGCAGCCCTGCCTGCCCTCCCCCACCTCCCATTGTAAATATACATTATTTTTGATAGCATACTTTGAAGTCCTCAGCGTTGGCCCTGGTGTGATGTTGGAATCATGACATGGCCATGGAGATGCTCTCCAGCCACCTCGGCTCACCAGGACCAGACCAAGCTCCTTTCCAATGCAAGCCCTTTTCTAGTGTTATGTTGCTCTCAGTGCTTCTCACCAGTAACTGGTGACTGTCCCTTGGACACAGACCCGCTTTGAGATTTCCTGACAGGGAAAGGGTTTCTGTTCATTGCCAAATCCCCCCCCCCCCGCTAACAGCATAATTGCCTTTTCCTCTGTAAATATTACAGCGATGGACCAAGACAGAAGGAAATGAGCCTCCGCCTTGCCTTGCATCAGCCCTGTGTATAAAGCCATTATCATCTGAGGCACCACTTGCCCCAGTAAACTCACTTTAAAACTGACTCTGAGGTTCCCCACTCCTCTGGGGCAAAGTCTTGAAGAAGAATATATATGTCTCTATCTTGTATGTTCGCTGCCCCTCCCCCAGAAAGTGCTGACTCAGAGGGGAATCTTTTAGCTGCTGATTTTAGCCACACAGGGGTGGAAATTATGCGGAAGAAACAAACCTGATACAATTTGCACAAGGTAAACAGTGAGAAGACAAATGGGCCACACTGTACAGAGTGCCAGCCCCAAGAGGTATGAAAGTGCTCCCTTCCCCCTGGCTCTTCTGGCTGAGACTATGTCACTAATGAATTGCCAAAGTGAGGGAGTAGGGCAGAGACTTCGTGTTTACAGCAGGGTTCTACTTATTTTAGGTGGACAGTGGAAGGCCTGTGCTCCAATTTCACGAAAGGAAAATTAAATGTCAGCACTTGTTGCTTATGACAATGGATTTTTTTAAAAATAAAGTTTACAGATCAAATGTGAAATAAACATGGATTAAGTGATCCTTCTGTCTGGTGATTGAGTTCTCAGGTCTTTGAACTCTGTGATTATCTGTAACACACACTGAAAATTATCTTTAAGCCCTGCACAAACTACCATTCATGTGTTCTTTCCATGCCAGCCTCTGTGTGCCAGTTTTAGGCATTGCCTTCTTTAATCTTTTCAAGAATGCTATGAGGTAAGTCCTATTGTTATTCCCATTTTACAGGTAAAGAAACTGAGTGCAGAGGGCAACTTGCTTACTTGGGGTTAGTAGGTGTGTACTTTCATAATATTCCATTTCATCTGGTTGAAAACAGTGTGCTCCTAACCCTAGAGTTGCCAGCGTTGTGGTGTTAACACTCCTCTGAATGCATGTGCATTGCACACACAGTGTAGGTATCTCAAATGTGCGGTACATCATACATGGCCTAAAGTTTCCCAAAATGTGTGTACTCCTCAAAGTATATACCTATCCCAAAGTGTGACATGTACATACAAAAGGCTGGAATACACTTGAAAATGTGTGCATTAGCAAAATGTGCTAATAGGCAATGTGGTAACTGTGCTCCATAGCTGGGAACAGACAGACACATTATATATTAGTTAGCTTACCTTCTCCAGCCAGAAGCATGCATCCTTCTTGTATGCCTCTCATGTCAACATCTGCCCCTTTGCTTCTGAGGGTTCAAGACCCTCACAAAGATGGTTATAGGTTGTAGTATTTTAATATCAAAAGGGCCTTAGAGATCTGGCCATCCCATCTTATACCACAGCTGAGGGGGGCAGGCCAGTGGAAGTAGCTTGTTTAGGATCCCACAGACCATAGACCATGGAGCCCTGACCTTAGGCTGCCCTGAGTTAGGGAGCCCTATGCATGACTGAGGAAGGTCTCCTGCTGCAGCTGAGGAGAGAGACCTTAGTGAGGACAAATGACAGGATGTGGTTTTGGTAGGAGGGAAATTTTGCTAAGTACAGCCACCTGTAGCTTGTGTGTGGACCAGCTCAGCATGCTCCAGAGGTGGGTGCTAACTGCCTTGTGAATAAGCTTGCCGCATCATGCCTCTGGTGAAGGGGTGTGTGCAGGGATGGATGGGCAGTAGGTGGCCCTGGGAGGAGACCCAGGACTGAGGAGCCTGGGAGAGGAGGACAAAGGGATTTTAGTCCTCTGAGTTCTCCAAGCCTGAAGAAGGGAAGGAAGGCAGGCACTTGACTCCAGTATCCCTTCTTCAGGGACTTCACAAATCACCCCCAGGCCTGTGCACCAAAGCTGGCTCCCTGGTCGGATACTGAGGCCTGCTGCTACTTTACCTCACCCAGACTCCAATCTCTCTATTCTGTGGCACCCATTGCCCTGAAGGCAAACAGTGCTAGACAATAGGCCAGCTTGGCAGGCCTCCAGGACCAGAGCTGTGTAACCCAGGCATTGAGGCAGACAGACACATAGCTCACCATTGGCTGCCCTCTGCCCTGCTTGGGGAGTAGTGCTTGCCTTGCCTGGATCCCCACAGGCCAGTTGCTGCCTAGAGGGAAAGCAGTGGTGTGAATGGAGGGGTTGGCATCTCTCATCCAACACATTAGCAGAGAAGCCTTAGACGTGGCTTTAGCCTAGACAATGAGGCCAAGAGGGCTGGAGCCCAGGCTGGCTGCTGGGCTTCTGAATTCACAGTAGGAATTGCTGTTCATTTAAAAGGGCTCAAGTAGCAGTTTGTGAAGGTGTATGTGGGGTGAGCGGAGGGGTGAAGGATGGATCTTACCACAAGGAGCAAAAGATTGGAGATGGTCCCACATCTCCTGACCCTAGTCCCTGGTTTTTTTTCTGCGCCAAGAGAGTTGGAACTACTTCATTCAGTTTTCTTGGGGTGTAAAACTGTGGGGCCCAGCAGGATTCCTTGCTGTGAGGACAATGGGTTTGGGGGAGGGTAGGACCCTCATTTTCATTTAGGCAGTTGCACAGCTGCCTCCCACAGGCTTTCTTCAAGGTCTCAGGTGAGATTGTAATAACACGGTTCAGGCTTTCCCTTCTCTCAATCAGAGTTTGAGAGCCCAGATGTGGCCTGTGCCCCTTCAGCTCCCACACTGCCTAACCTGAGATCCTGAGAGCTGGCTGCTTATGCATCATGCCAGGCTTGCTCCACCCCTGTGTTCCCCTGGCCTCTCTGTCAGTTACGACCTGTCTCTAGCACCGATCTGTTTGGTTGTAGGGTGTGGAAGGCTGCTGGGAAGTACCAAACACCTGCTCTGTGCCTGCTCCGCATCTAGTCCACGCTGGGTGCTGCACGACATTTTCCTTTCCTGTCTGCACTGTGCAGTCATCATTTGTTCCTGTGGGACCTCACAGAGAGTCTTCCCAACCACCCCCCACTCCCCACCCCACACCCGACACCCCACACCCCCACGTGCTTTAGAGTTGCACAAGGCATGTTAGATGGCCATAGAACAGTGGCAGCGTGGCTGGGGGACTTGGGGGCACATAAGAAGGAGAATACAGAGAGGAAGTGAGGGTTGGGCTCTGACTTGGCTGAGGTCAGGACAGGGTGATTGGCTTTAGTTCTAGCAGGTGAGCTGGCAAGTCATGGACTCCCAGGCCCAGCCAAGACCTTGGCTTTGATTTCAACAGCCTGTCCCTACTCAAGATATTTGTTAAAAGGGTTGTCTTCCTTTTCTAGGATCCCAGGATCATGATCTCTCCAGAGCCAGGGCTTATTGCCCGATTGCCCTTAGTACCCTACCTTGGGCTCTGACAATCTCCAAGTGGGCCCAAGAGTCTCTCTTGCAAAGAAACAGCATCCTCTGTGCAAGGTGTGCCTGTAATGGCAGCCAGGCCATGTCACTGCAGAGTCACAACACCACAGGTGAGTTTAGAAATAACATCAATCCCTTCAATTGATAGAAACCCTGGGGTCTGGAGTTGGATACAGAAAAAGGAACAGGTCCTGTTGG